TATTGTGATTATATGGCGGTAATGCCGATATAGGCCGGTGTGGCCTACGCGCCATAATCATCGCATGCCCCCTAACAATCACAGCAGGTCACAATTATATTTGTACTGTTGAAGGCGTAGTGTTTTGATATTGAAGGGCTTTACGACCCCTGTTCACATTGGCGTTACCTCCATGCAATTCACATGTATAGTACAAATCTGTCTTCAAATAAATTTTTCCCTTCGAATAAAAACAACTGCGTGTGCTATTTACTATTGGATAAATACGGTGCATACAATATACTATTGCTAATACCATATGTTAGAAGAAAGAGCGAACTCGACCTGAGTTGCTGCGCTACCAAATAAGAATTGTTCGTTATTGTAGATTTACCATCTCCTCATATCTTCCTTAATATGAATACGCGCTTTCTAATCTCCGATTACACAATCTAACACAGCATAGGTTTCCAATGAAAATCAATTGAAACCCAGTAATCAGTTACTCTGGCAGGGTACCAAGTAAATGCGCGGAACAGCAAGTTTCTCGACTGCCGCTCGTGTCACTTTGGTTGGTCTCAATGATAATTTTATGGGTGTCGATATTCGCCGTTGCTCAGTGGTTGGCTAATGTGATGGCAAGCGAAGCAGCTTTGAGGGACTAAAGGAATCGCATCTCAGATGATCATCCTCATTCGCTGTGCTGTCAATATATTGTCCATGTCGAGCTATAACCGATTCTTTGCACAGTTGTCACCAAACTTACACTTCCGTCATGGGTCTCGTTCTTTCTTTACTTGTTGTGGTGGTGACGGCAATCGCGGTGATAGGTGGTGATTTTCGAACGACAAATGAGTATACATGAACAAATTCGCCATCTCGATATTGACCGGCACTCTCGTCTCAAAACCGTCTTCATTGTCGCCCAGTCTGCTACCCGTTGCTGCTTCTAATATTGGACAGGAGACCGATTGTGTATCGAGAACTACGGGCGAACCGGGGTTGGCGGTGAGGCGTAGCGGGCAACGTGGATTGTTTTGTGCGATAGATTCGTCATTGAGCGTATAACACAGGCTAATGGCGGACGGGTGCGGGCTTTGCACAGGAATAACGGGTGAAGTACGGAAGAACAAGCCTGCTGCTGCTGCTGCTGCTGCTGTTGCTGCTGCTGCTGCTGCTGCTGCTGCTGCCATCTTCGTATCGCTGCCAGATAATCGGACAGGCTACTGAAGAAAGCGGTCGGTTCGTTGCCGGTTTGCTCTTCGTGCTTCGTCCGCTTCTATCGCTCTTCCCTTCTCTCTAGTTAGAGACGGGTAAATATGAGCACGAGGGCGAAAGAGAGAGAGTTCGTATATGCTCTACTGCAGAAACATCGGTGCAGGAATGCTGTAGCTCTCAGGCGACCGTACTCGCAGCAAGCTTGTTTCAAGCAAGCAACCCCCATCGGATGGCTCAGTCGCGACAGCACAGCAGCGACCTCTGTGCCTCAAGAAACTGCGGAGTATGGACCGTCGGTGCAACGGATGGGACTCGGGTTGATTTCCGATACATCGACCAGACAGCTTGCTTGTTGGCTACTGGCAAGCGAACGACTAGGATCCGCTGACAGAGAAAGGGGACCAATGAACACGAAGGAGGCAGTGGAGAAGACGTTGACAGCACTTTTGTTAACGGCGGTAGTCCTAGTAGTGTATAGGGCCTTGCAAAGGCCAAGGCGATGAACAGAGCATAAACAGTGGTTCGTAAACCGCCGCAACGACTCCCAAAGAACTCCTCCTGATGCTCCCTGTCCCTTTATCTCTCTCTTGCAGTGTATTACTCTGTTAACATCACGTCGCGTCTAGATCCTGACGGCGCTGATCGAAGACCGATTGGCCATAGACGATAGCTCAGGAAAATTTCCTATTCAGTTGTTTTCTCTGGGTACAGCATATCAACACACATATGTTACGATCAGTCGAAATCGTTATTATAGTCTGGCATGGAATTGCTAGCTAATTGAAATCATCTTTACTTCCAGGCTGTTACATGAGGGCTAAATATTGTTATGTCCGCAGCTGTTGCGTGCTTTTCTTTATGGCAAGACGCGACTATCATTTCACGCTCCCCTCCTTCCCCAACTGCCTTTAAACAAGTACAAATGCTCGAGAAAGATGAACAGCGCAGTGACCGAGATGACACCTTCTGAGATCGAGATAGCGGGTTCAAAACGAAGGGGTGGTATGCTGGTATGTCAATTTGGCAAGTTACCGCGCTCAAGCCGGCCGACTGCGTCTTCGTGCCACTATCGCTTTGTTTACGGCTGCCGCTGCTGGTGCTACGCCGTGAAACAGGTAGCCAGTGGCCAAGTAGTCATCCAGCCGTCAAGAGGCCCAGCCAGCCAGCGTGTTGCCATTGCAGCGACACGCACGCACGCACGCACGCACGGGTTTTGACTTCCTCCAATTTGTGGGGCAGCTGTCTGAGTGGTGGCGGCGGCGGCAGCGCCCATCGCTATTACTGGTTGCATTCGTTACTGCCGCAGACTCGGCTAAGGTTAGCGCTAATGGTGCTAGGGCGGACATAGTATCATTGCCAGCAGTAGCGCTCGATGGTGTGGTCCCCGGTGATTTATGAAAAAGAAGAGCCTTTCTTAACATCTGCTGCTGCCGCTATGCCAATCTCGGTATCCGTGGTAGCAGCGGCCGTAACAAGCGTGCCTCTGTGCAAAGATACAAGTATCTGTTGCTGTCCGTTTAGTCAAGCAAGTAGAACTCACCACTGTAACAATAGGGGCAAGCAGGTTTTGAGCACTTTCAGGCTTAACGAGAACAAGGACATGCAATAATTGCGGCTACTACAAGCACGGAAACTGTTATTTTCCTATCTACATTTAATTCTGTGCTGACTGCCATTATGTAATAGTACGAAGAACAGTATGCCGCACCGCCTATGTATTATATATCGTACCGTAGAGTTTATTAGTATACGGAATGTCGGCTGGGTCGCAACGCATACAGCACATCGATAGAACCTATAGCCTTATAGCGTTGTTTTGTCGTGATGGTCGTCGCAGTTGTCATGTGTGGGTCCCTGGTTGCGTGCGTTGTTACCACTGAGCCTGGTTCAGGTCACCCCAAACGTTGCAGCAGACTCAGCGATTGTCCTTGTTGTAGTTGTCGTGGCCGTTGTCATTCCAGTCGTTGTTTTCCCTCTAATAGCGTGATTATCCTATGCTGCCGCTGCCGTTGCTGCTGTTCCTCGGCGCCCCCCTACCGTCCAGTAACGTTATTGCTATCGCTAAGAAGCTATTAGCAGCAACGACGGACGGCCACACGAGCTAGCGATAGCGCTAAGCTAGCTACTATTGCAACTGTTACTCGTTGGCTGAGTGGGTAACGTTGGTCAGTGGCTGGCCGGCTCGCATACGTAATGTAACTGCTATACAGTCATCACAACTGCCGGGCAGTCTGTGCCGTTCGCTAGGTCAATCGACGGCAATGCTGGCTGAGGACGTAGCCGCTTTGTCACCACTGGACGCACATAGATGCAATACGCGACCATAATAGCCACGCAAGCAGTTGCAACAACGAATTAGTATATGCTGCCGCTGGCATTATAGCTCGCCGTGCTGCTTTAACGGCAGCTGCGACCGTTGGTCTTCGTACAACTACTCGTTGCTGCTGCTGCTGCTGGTGTTAGTGTCGTTGCTCTGATCGTGCTGTCTCTGTTTCTCTTTATGGGAAAACGATTTCTGTTGCTGTGACCGCCGTTGCTGCTATTTGCCTATACGCGATCGGTTGGCCATACGTGCGCGACTGCCCAAATGCCGCTGCTTTTCGTTGCTTGCTGCTAATTGCTGGTCATTGCACCAAGTGATTGACTCTCAACGGTCGTCGTCGCCGCCGCCGCTAATGACTCCGCGTACGCGCACACATCACCAGAATTAACCAGAACAATCAGCAGCAGCGTCGGCAACGTAAAGCAAGCCATTTTTCTGTCAGATATTATGTTTTGTGCTCGCAGACATTTCCAGAACTGATGAGTCTCCATTACATATAT